TTCAGCTGAAGAGAAGCCATTTAAAGAGTAGTTTGGGGTCCTTGTCATAAAGTTTAGTTACAATTTTGATTTCTTGGGACTCTTTTGATTCTTTCCTTCTTGGAATATTTACTGCCTGGATTGTCATTTTCTTGTGTCCTGTGTCATGTATAATACTGACATCTGTTCTTTTTAGACTAGAACAAATACACTGGATTCCAAGAAATAACTTCCAGGTTTTTCAACATCAGAACCACCTTGTATATCTGTTATGTATATATATCTTCACTTAAACACACAGACCTATGTAGGACTTTAGCCCGCTGGTGGTGACGAAAAGTCAGCCTTGATGGTCAGATTGGAGACTGATCACCTGTCCACATGCCTAGGGGAACCAACCTGATGAACAGGGCCTGGGCCAGGAACTCCACACATGAGTTTTCCTTTATGTATAGCTGCCAGCTCTTTATGAGAATCAAGGGTCTCTAACCTTGTTCTGTCTCTCTGTTGATTCCCACTACTGCTGAAATAGACAATGCCTACTTAACTTTGCCAACTTATTTTGAAAGTCAAAGGAAAACAAAAAGTGCAGAGTTAAAAGCGCTATGAAAGTAAAAATGTTTCATGTTCACTCTCCTATCCACATTGTTAATTGTTTAGCTTCCTTTGCATTGTAAGTTGGTAGTACAGATGGAGTGGAGCAGAGAAGGAAGGGCAGTGATAGCAGAGAGGAGGTGTCGAGAAAGAAGGAAAAAATGAACTTAATTGTGTTGATTTGTTTCTCCAGGTATTGATTTAGACCTCTTCTTAATCAGAGAGACTCTTTATTGAATCCAGAATGTTCTTCTCTGAAAAGAAGGTGAATTGTTAAACTATGAAACTAGGACAATTAGATGGAGAAACTTCTTACCTATGATTTGACACTGTGGATTACTTCCTCTCCCCATTTTTGTCTGTAGAGAGCCAGGATTGCCCCACAGTGAATAATGGAGACCCACTGGCTTCTGGACAGGTTCTATTGGGCCCACAGCGCTCAGACCATACTTAAGTACCACCATTTGTGGCCTGTGGCATTGTGCCCACTGTAATAACTAAAGCAACAAATAATTCCTGCTTCTAAAGTCACCAAGCATGCGCGTGCTGTCCAAGAGTCTTCTGGATGGCTTTACGTTCCTCCCCTGACAGAGCGAGTGCTTCGTCAGTGAGCCAGGATACAGAGCCTTTGCGTTTTTTTTTTTTCCATTTTATTTTTAATGTTCCTTCTCAGCTCCAGACTCACTGGAGACATCCTGACACAGAACACTTTGCCTTGCACAATATGATGCCCTTTACCTATAAAAGTGTGTCTCATAAAGGTACTACCTTCCCCTCAGAACAAACAACGGAAATGCATCAGGCAAGCTCTGCTGTAGACAGAATGCACATCATGAAGCAGGAGCCACCACGGGATTCCTTAGATGAAAGCCGATTTCAATGAACATTGTGTTTCAAAGCCCGCTTCCTCTTGCCCCGCAAGAGCTGCAGAAGGAACATCCCACTTGCGTCTGCTGACACAAAAGAATGCTGCGACTGGGAGATCTTATCGAGCCTTCCTGTGCCACAGTAACAGAGCTCCACTGTGTCTTGTAAGAATTGCTCATTGTTTCTCGGGGACAACTGGCTCCTTTGGGTGGGATCTTGATGGCATCTCATGGAGTGGAGGTAGGCGGTGCTGGGAGGTCAGCCAGCCACGTGACCCAGCTTACTGGCTTCGGGGAAATCAGAGAGAGGAGCAAACTTCACCTAGACCTGTTGAGAGGCTAAATATTTAAGGTTACACTATTAAAAGAGGCATAGACTATTTGCTTACTATCATCTTCAACTGTGTAAGTTAAGAACAAAAATAAAAGTTATGGTCAAATTCTCCCTGTTGGTATAAACTGTCTCTTTTCTTTTAATCAATTCACCTAAAGCTGTTTGATTCTGAAAAGACTCAGAAGAATAAAGGAGAATTTTTTGAAAATGGAAATTTATTGATTTTAAAGCCATCCCTGGAGAATCTAGATGCTAATAAGTCAACATGTTAGCTCAAAAATATATACTTGTATTCTGAGGATGAACCTTAGGTATAAAATCATCACATTTATATTTAAAAGTGTGAGTTAATAATATTGGATTAATTAAATTTGGCCAATTCTAGGTGATGTATCATTTGATTAGAAAGTTTGTAGTTTCCCAGTTTGGGCCTTTTTTTAATAGGGAAAATCGATGGTTAAGTGTTTAGCCACATGGGGAAAAGAAATAGAATTTTCTTCTCTTTTCTCTTCCTCTTTATAGAGGCTTGCTGAGTAATCAGTGCATATAAGAAATCTATGTGTGTAAGTATGACATGCTGAGGAAAAAGGGTGACCAGGAGTTTCCTAAAGGGATAAAGTTTGAGATTAACATTTTTATTCCCTCTTTCCTATGTCTCCTTGTGGTATTTTCTGAAATTCCCTTTGCCCTCAATGTACTTATATTCAATTATTTCACCAACAAATAATTTTTCTCCTCTTACTCTTTATGAGAATCTGAAAATCAAAATAGTACCAAAACACCGTCTCTGTTCTGAATATACTTATTATTGAAATGATCAAATCTTGTAATTTGTTCATTTTCTCTCAGTGAACTGTGAGCATATTGAGGAAAGGCGCTGGATCATATTCCTCTTCCTGTCTCCACTGCTGAGCACAAGCCTCCTACACAGTGTTTACTAAATCCTTATTGGACGGATGCAAAGATGGATGCGTGAATGGATGGGTGGATGGCTGGCTACGCTGTAGTACCTACACTTGCAAATGAGATTGGATCCAGGTTGCTTACATCGTTCTTGGCATGACCACACCTGTTCATCCTCCAGGCCTTTATTATCCCACTCTCAGACACACAGAACGTCCAAATCACATAGTCCAACTCTTTCAGTTTACAGTCGAGGAAATGAGACTCAGAGAGAGAATCCAATTTATTTATAAGCCCCACAGCTAATAAGTGCCAGAACTGGGTTAAAATCCAGATCTCTTGCTTTTCAGTCAAATACCCTCTACATGAAGTTGCTTTCCATGACTCATATTTGGAGGCTTTAAGGGACCCTGTGGAGCAATCTGTCACTCCTGGCTTATGTGAGCAATGTGAGAGAAAACTGGGTTAGAGCAAAACTAGGTGCAAGGGGCCCCCCTGGGGCTGCTGAATTCATATGTTGGTGATGCTGAAACAAGGTGAGAACAGGAACGATTCATCTTTATTCAGGCCAATATTCTTCCACATTTCTCTCAGAAGACACTGCACTCAAAATTCCCTCAAAATTCCCTAGCCTCCTAGATAACCTTTGGGGATAGTGCACTCCAGCCCTACTTCACCAGGCAAGAATCCGTTTTATGCAAAATTCAGCCTGCGCTTCTGGACTTAGAGATGTGGCTGATGTAATGATGCTACCCCCAGATCCTCCTGCTGGCAGGAAGTGCTCCCACCATATCACCTCTGACTGCCTGGATCCCTGTTGCTCTGAATTAGGCCCAGTTGCACTGCATCTAAATGTTCGTGATTGACTTATACTTCAACAAAATGTTGTTCGTTAAGAATTTAACCTTTGAGATTCAACGATTGTAGAATGAACACATAACAACAGAGCTGAATCTCAAAATAATTATGCTGAGTGAAATAAGACAAAAAAGCACACACTGTATGATTCCATTTATATAAAACTCTAGAAAATGCAAACTAATTTTGGATAAGAGAAAGAACATCAGTGGTTGCCTGAGGAGATGGGGAAGGAGACGTTGGGGTTGGGAAGTGAGAAAGAGGAATAAGTAAATGTTTGAGGGTGATGAGTGTTTTCATTTTCTTGATTACAATGATGGTTTCATGGCTATACACACATGTCAAAACTTCTCAAATTGTACAATTTAAATATGTGCATTCTACTGTATGTTAATTATACCTTAATTGAGTTTTTTTTTTAAAGAATGTAACCTTTTTAAATTCAGTCAAAATACAGTATTAGGGTTCAATTACAGAAGCAAAGAAATTAGGAGATATATATATATATATACACATATATACACATATATATATATACACATATACACATATGTATGTGTATATATATATATATATATACACATAATATAGTTATAAAGATTTTACCTTCTGTAATTGTGGAGTGTGGTTAAATCATGTCTGTAAGGTTACTGTCTTCACGTCTGATGCTGGAGATTAAAGTCCAAGAAAAGGCTGTCAGGAAAGGGAGGTGAATGTAAAATGTGGAAAAGAGCCTATTTTAGAACAAGCTGGAGCCCATAGGCACAAGCTGAAACTCACAAGGACAGATGGAAACTCGCATCAGTTTGTAATGCCTCTGACCTTGACTGCAGGATGTCCCTTCATCATACAGCTGAACACACAAACTTGGCCCAGGAGTTGGAGGAGCTGGAGAAGGATGGGGGAGGCAGGGCAGTTACTGGCCCAGCTGCTGCCTCAGGCGGGAGGTGAGACTAGACAGGAGAGAAGAGACAAGACGTATGAGCAACGGAATGGCTGCTGCTCTCCTCCCCCATTCAAACTTTGCACAAGAATATCTCTGGCCCACTCTAACCAAAAACACACAGGAGAGAAATGTTGGAAAATATAGTGCATCCTCCTCAATCCATCACAGAGTTACTCCTTGACAACTTGGCATGCAAACACATTTCTTTAAATCATACTTAATCTCCAGATAAAGGTAATAACAGTCATATCTCCACCTGACATGGTGCCTCTGTCCCAAGTGCAACCCTCGTTAACCTTTGCCCGGAAGAGGGTCCAAAGTTCTTCTCTGACTTTGGATGATGCTCAGTTTTAGTGTGCGTCTTGTTTGTTTGCACTTCCCCTCTGTCGTCCTATATTTTCTATACTGAGCTATTAAGTCAACTATTAGTAACACATCTTATGTTAGAGAAGGGCATGAGAAAAAGGACAAATGCAAAAATAATTGGTTAAATATATAAATAAATGTAAATTTATATGCATATATGTATATAAACTATATAACTCTACATACCTATATAAGTTCATATCATAATAAGGAAGAAATACTCATAACTCTTACAGTACTATCTGCAACTGGTCGTGTGGTCATAGCTGGTATTTATAACTACTCCTTTCCACTTCCCATTCCATATTCCCTTTGTCTTCAGCAAACATTTCAACTAGCTGGGAATCCTTGCCAGGTGAAGGGAACAAAATCTTCATTTCTGAAGGGTCTGGGCCATTAGCAGTCCTGTTAATTGAGTTGATGTAACTTAATCATAGGGTATGGGAATACTGAGAGGCAATCCTCCCTTCTTTGCCTGTTGATTTCATGGCATGAGTCCAGGAGCACTCCAGTGCAACAGAATCATCACTCCTCCATTTAAAGCTAAGACTTCTAGACAGGCAGAGACTGTCACAGGGACAGGAAGCAAAAGTTTAGTGGATCACCAGGGGTAACAGTGAGAGGAACCTTTCCCATAACCACCCTTTATTCCCAGGCCCATGATTCCTGGCTGTGGGAGAAACAAAAATAAACACTGGATGATGATTTAGAGCATACTTTGCATCCTGTACGAGTTACCATAACTGAGTCTTCAAAAGGCCGTTCCATCATTCTATCAAGCCAGCTGCTTCAGGGTGATGGGGAGCATGGTAAGACCAGGGAACTATATGAGAAACTGCTGCACCTCATTTGCTGTAAAGTAATTTTCTTGGTCAGAAGTGACGCTGTGTGAAATACCATAATAGTGAGTAAGTTATTCTGTACATGGTTTTGGTGGTGCTTTGGGCAGAAACATTGTGAGCAGAGAAGGCAAACCTATATCCAGAGTAAGTGTCTATTCTAATAAGAACAAATCACTGCCCTTTCTATGAGAGAAGCAATCTGATCTAATGTATTCAACCTGCCAACAGGTGGCTAGTTAGTAGCTGGGAATGGTGCCATGTCAGGGGCTCACTGTAGACCTCTGCTGTTAGCAGGCTGGGCCCTCTGCAGCTGCCACAGCCAGGTGGGCCCTGGTAAGTAGACATTTATGTTGCTGAGCCCCTACATAACTTTCATCTCTGCCACCATAGCCACTTTATTCATGAGCCGATTGGGCGATGATGGGAGTTGCTGGAGAAGGATCGCTGTCCATGGAATGACTCATCCCCTCCACCTGCTGATGCAAATACCCCTCTGTTGAGTTTACCCTTCAGTGAGCATTCACAGAGAACACATATATCTTCACACACCATGCCCATTTGGAGGGGTCTGTCAACCTACCTTTCCTCCAGATCTCTCTGTCACTGATTTTTCAATCATGTTCCTTCCAAATCTCTTGACCTTCCAGCCAAGTATTAGCCATGGCCCATAAACTTGTGCAGACATGTACATCTGCACATCTCTCCTTCCAAGCAAAATGGACAGTCAGGTGCAGTGCTCAAAACTCTGTGCACGGGGAGGATTTCCCTTTCCCACTGTCCTTTAGGGCCATCCCAGGGTGAGGCTGTTGTGCTTCAGCTGTCCATTTTGTTCTTAGCTGTCCACTTCCTGGTGGTGCATGCTGAATAGACCTGAGTCTTTTCTCCCCCATCATCTGGTCACAAGGAGCTTCCCAAGTGGCCAGGTGCAGGTAAAGAGAGAGAAGACAATACATCAGGAACAGGGGCTATGAGTATATGGATCAGTTGCTCATGCAAACATGCCTATGCCTTCAGGTTCTGCTCAAGTCCAATTTCTTACATACCACTCCCATTTGAGAATGAAGTACTTCTGTGCATGCTCAAAATTATGGCTCAGTGGGTCAGGCAATACCTAACAATAGGCAGCTCAGCTCACATGGTAACTTAGAGACTGATGACCAAGAATTCAATTTCTACTAAGACCCACTAGCAAAACAAAAGCTATTTCTTAAAAGGATATTTATGCACAGAGGATGGCAGGGCTTTATTCCAAAACCCTAAGGAGTCACAGTCTGATCCATAGGAATCTGAAAAAGGCTCTAAAGAGCATCCCTATCTATAACCAACATTTTAAGCACCATTGGATCTTCTGGACTAGATGGTCCAAGAGGCACAGTTGCTTGAGCAGCAGTCTGTACTTCTTATAGAGCTTTCTCTTGTTCTGGGCTCGACTCATAATTGAGAGCTTCTTGGGTCACTGAATAAATGGGTCAGAAAGGGTACCTAGACGTGAGACAGGAAGGAAGGGAGCAGGGCACTACCGTTGAAAGAATGACATAGCCATCGAGGACATGACAAAAACTGGTTAGAACCTACTAAACCCAAGATAGTGGAAGACTGTACTTCCAATAGATCTTGAGCCTCATTATATACCTATTGTAATATATTAGCATGCTAAATGAAGCACACCCAGCCTCCATGACAGTTCCAAGGCTGACCATAAAAGGCCAAAAAGTGGGCAGTGGCCCAATTCTGGGAAATCCCTGCCCCTTCCCCAAAGTAGTTGGAATAATCCTCCAACTTGTTAGCCTATAAAATGTCCCGGCCTATAAAAGCTAACAACCCCATGCCCTGGGGCCTCTCACCTTCTGATACAGCCTGCACTCTGACTGTGGAGTGTGTATCTGCCTGAGTAGACTTGCTTTCACTTTACTATGGCTCACTCTTGAATTCTTTCCTGCGTGAAGCCAAGGACCCTCACTTGGTGGGACTCACCTGAGACCTGGAACATGACCATCCTCTCATGCCCTATTTTCTTGCAACACACATGCCACAGAGTGGACTCCAAGACATTTCACCAAGGTTGCAGTTCTTTGATTTTTTATGGGATTTATTCCCCATCCCCTGGCAGGCAAATAACTTATCACTGTGTGGAGAGAAGTTGCTACTTTCTGCTCACCTAGTGCAGGAATCAGAGAAGCTAGAAGAGGACCCAGGGGGTGATGAGGCAGTTATCAGGCTGGCCACTGCCTCCCACCAACGAGGGTAGCGTGCAGATAAGCCACAGTGTGGGTAAGCGAGAACATGGTGGCTGCTGCTTCCCTCCCACCCTCCACATCCCCCACAAGCATCTTTTTTACAACCCAACCTCACCAGAAACATACAGGAACAGAGAATCTGGGAAATGTAGCTCATCCTCACCAAGGTGACACATTACAAAGCTACAATCTGTGCACAAAATATGATTTATAGTAGATTTTTGCACAGTAGAGAATCCAATATAAAAAAAAAGTAGGGGGGAGGGATATAGCTCGGTGGTGGAGCCCATGCTTAGCATGCAGGAGGTCCTGGGTTCAATCCTCAGTACCTCCATTAAAAAAAATAAATAAACATTTAAAAAAATAGTAGATGCTTATCTTGGCCTGTTCTTTTCTGAGGAATTCATCTGACAAAATGATTTCTCTTACCTGCAAGGCCTAGATTCCACAGAATATCTGTGTGGGTTCTGACCCTGGGGAGATTATCAAAAGAGAGCTGTTTCCAGAAACATATACTATTTTTTAATAAATAAATGCTTAACAATGTGAAAATATATTCATAGTTTGAGTGTGTTTATCAGGCACTTTTCCAGAGAGACTAAAACTTATTTAAGTTTGAGAGATTTTTTTAATGTTTAGTGTTCAAAGAATTAGAATTCACTTTTAAGTTAAGAAGTGTGCTGCAGGCCAACAGCAGAGTGACATGCTTTTGCATTATAATGAAAAGAAACCCTCAGACTTTGCTCTCCAGGCTGCCTGGCATGCTGCTCATCCTCATGCTGGTGAAAGACCATGGTGGTTTCAGAACTGAATGTCCCAGAAGAGGAGGGCAGGCCAAGCTGTGCATCTTGGCAGGTGGAATCTTTCCCTTTTGTTTCTGAAGTCTATTGTCTAAGAAAGAGCTGACATCAACATTTGTCTCTTAGTATATGAATCTATGAGCTTCTCTTAGGAAATGGTAAGATGATTGCTGTGTACAAGGAAGGTGTGTGTATGTATGAGTGTGCCAGCACAAGTCTTTACAGTGACTTAAAGTGAGTCAGGAGGGCAGGGGGCAGGGCACAACCATTAAAAGAATGACACAGCAACTGAGGACAGGTTAACTGGTTAGAACCAACTAGGCCCAAGATGGCAGAAGATCTGACTTGCAGTAGACCTTGAGACTTAGACGCTCATTGTAATACATTAGCATGCTAAATGGCAGTCCCACAGGCACCACAACAGTTCCAAGGCTGACCATAGAAGACCCAAAAGTGGGAACTCTGCCTCTTTCCCAAAATAGTTAGAATAATCCTCCCACTTGTTAGCATATGAAATTACCTAACCCATAAAAACTAACCATCACCCCCCTCAGAGGCCCCTCACCTTTTGAGAGGGGCTGCCTTCTGCCTATGGAATGTGTATCTCCTAAGCCACTCTCACTATCCAAGATGACCCCATTCCCTGGGGCCACCTCTCTGGCATTCTGAGATAGCCCACACTCTGTCCATGGAATATCTCTAAATAAACTTGCTTTCACTTTATTATGGCTCACTCTTGAATTCTTTCCTGCGTGAAGCCAAGGACCCTCACTTGGTGGGGCACGTCCCAGGGACTTGTTTGAAGCCTGGTACACCACCATCCTCTCATGCCCCATTTTCCTGTAACAGAAGGACAGAATTCATGACAGAGAGCAGCTAAAGGAAGAGAGAGTCCAAATGAGACCAAGGAGAAGATGGTTTTCAAAATGACCCTTCATTATTTCAGACCAATTCACGACTTCCTGATGAAGACACTTGTCTGCTCAGCAGTGCTGGTGTTTCTAAATCTTCCCATGACAGAATAACCATTGTCAACACTTGCCTCAGACACAGGAATTGGGAAAAACCACAGTAGGAAAGAGAGATAAGTGCATAAACAAGGTTATTGTGTTAGTGACAAAATTGGTCACCTCAGTTAACTGGCTGAATTGAAGGATTAAAAGAAAAAGGTATATGATGCCTTTGATGTAGTATTGGCTGAATAATCATTTAACAAATATAATTGGATGGTTGACTAAGTAAGAAAAGGGTCATCTTTGCTCTTTATACAGATATTTGACAGATATTTGGCTTGTCCCCAAGGAATTCTGATTTCTTCCTCCCCACACTATTTTGGTGCTTTGAAGCTTTAAAATCTTAAATAAATTTGATTCCTAGGATTAGCACATATTAGGATCACAAGGACAGAGGCTCTGAACCACCGAACAAAGGAGGGAGGGACATAGAACAGAATGGAAAGAATTAGAGAAATTTTCCACCAGTGGACTGGACACATCCTCATGCAAACAAAGCTTTTTAGGCTAAAGCTATATTTTATAAATATGTGATCAATCAATCACTTGATAAGCCCAGAGAGGATAAGCAAAAGATCTTTCTTTCTTCCTTTCTTTCTTCCTTTCTTTCTTTCTTTCTTTCTTTCTTTCTTTCTTTCTTTCTTTCTTTCTTTCTTTCTTTCTTTCTTTCTTTCTTTCTTTCTTATCCTCCACAATTCAGCATCACATGCCGAGCAGTTGAAGGGAAAAGCCTTTTGTCATTTCTGTTTCCA